TCAACAAGATTAGACTCCGTGCCACACCTCGAACCGCACTCAGAAGTGGTTGCAGGAACATCTTCCGTTCTGGGCGAAGCATATGTGTCATGAAGGTCAAGGTCTGTTCTAAACGCCACCCGAGTACAGCAAGCCTCAGACAAACATTGACCCGTACCTGGAGAGAAATGGATCCAGACTATGTACATTATTAGAACCTGCCGTGCATTCCGGAAGCGTGTGGAGGCGGTAATTGCAGCAAGTGGAAACTCGATAGATGATTAACATAGTTTAATACTCTGAGAAACTAAAAAAAAATGCACCATTGAGCAATGTCACAATAAAAAAACTCTCAAAAATTTCGTTTTCTAGTTTTCTTATTTATTCAAAGGGGGGATCCCTTTGAATAAATAAAAAAAACTCGAAAACGAAATTTCTGAGAATTTTTTAAATTTTGACATTGTTCAATGGTGCACACATTATCACGCATACGGTATATTATTAGAACAGATACATACAACAATTGTTCATTTAAACATTCGGCTTAAAGAGCGTTAAAAGTCTTTCTTATGTGACTTCCATGAGAACTTTAAAATATCTAAACTAGCAACACTGCCAGCTAGAAGGTGTAGCTTATTGTGCGCGAAAAACAAGCCTGGAAGTGGTTTACATTCATCCGCGATAATCCCGAAACTAGTTCCAACGCCTTCCGGAGTGACCGCTGTTCAGATAAGTCGAAGTAAATGTTCTGACGGCAACCTTGGTACTGTACACATCATCCGCCATTGTAAACCGACGTTAAGATATCTGGTGCTTACTCTCTCTGTCACGCACATACACAATGTCGACCAAGCGCACTCCACCTGTCAGTATCAAAGCAAACAACGTTACAAAGCGTCCGAGAACAACCGATGAAGATGCAAATGCTAATGGAGATCCGATAACACTGGACACCGCAGTAAGAATGCTGATGAAACAGTTCACCGAGACAAAGACGTTGATTGTTGAAATGCGCAACGAGATAAACATCAAGATCGATGCTGTACACTGGGGATCCCGTATCTCAAAAGTGAGGATCTCCTAGCGCATTTTAATGCTGTGTGTAAGCAGCTTGGAATGGACGAGCGAAAGCGGCCTTCGGTCGACATCAGGCGTCTCAAAACCGGAGCGTTGAACGATGGTGACAATAGTTTGGCGTTGGTGCAGTTTGCACTGACTCTGGAAACATTAATTTTTATTTTTTTTCTTTATTATAGAGATTTTTAGCCATATGGCTAGTTCATCTCTTGACTCCGGAAACATGATCTTCAGCTGAGTCATCTTGGAATCGAGCGAAAATACGGACTGAACAGCTCGACATTCGAGCAAAGAATGATCTATATTTTCAACGCTCTCATTGAGTCTTCTACCTTTCCTGCGTGGTGGAAGCAAGCGAAAGTACTGCCATTCCAAATCTCAAGCCTATCAGCATCTTGTGTGCGATGTCGAAGGTTTTTGAAAAACTTTTGAAGCAACAAATGTTGGTGTGCATTTCTGAGAACCATCTATTATCGGATTGTCAAGCTGGGTTTCGCAGAGGACATAGCATCAAAACTGCGACGTTACGTGTTAACGATGATTTGGCGACCACAATCGACAAGAAAGGATCCGCCATATTGCTCCTGTTGGATTTTTCCAAGGCGTTCGATACAATCCCGCATCGGAAACGAAGTTCAATTCTCGACGATTCTTACTTATTTGGAAGAACTCAAACTGTCTTTTGTGGCAATCAATGTTCTGAGATTGGCGAGGTAACATCTGGCGTACCACAAGAGTCGGTGATCGGCCTTTTGTTGTTTTGCTGCTACATTAACGATCTCCCAACGGTGCTAAGATTGTACTCAATTCAAATCTATGCTGACCAGGACCTCACAAAGTCACTTTCAATCGAAAATCGCCAAGTGACGATGAAGCTGTCAACCATCACTTTCAATTGAAAGTCATTCTGTCTTCTCTTCGAGCAGGTACCCGTCAACATCAACATAACCACTTTCGATCAATTTGCATGCTGTTTGTTTTGGCTTGACTCGTGTTCAGTGTTTTTTTTTGAATCGGGGTGACGTCTAGAGATCGAAAATTGATATGCGACGCCATTTTGAAATCCAAGATGGTGGCGTCCAGTTTAAGAAAAAGTGGGAAATGCTGTCAAATACCTATCAATAAAGGTATTTTTGGAATCGGTATGATGTCTAAAAGATGAAAATCGATATCCGACGCCATTTTGAAATCGCAGATGGCGGCTTCCGATTTACGAAAAAGTGGAAATACACATCAATATTGGTATTTTTGTAATCGGTATGAAGGCTACAGATCGAAAATTGATATGCGACGTCATTTTGAAATCCAACATGGCGGCTTCCGATTTCAGAACAAGTGGGAAATATTGTCAAATACCCATCAATTTAGGTATTTTTGGAATCGGGGTGGCCTCTAGAGGCCGGAAATTGATATCCGACGCCATTTTGACATTCAATATGGCGGTTTCCTATTTCAGAAAAAAATGGGAAATGCTGTTGCCGTCCCATCAATATGGGTGACGTCTGGAGATTGGAAATCAATATTAGACGCCATTTTGAAATCCATGATGGTGGCTTCAGGTTTGAGAAAAAGTTGTAAATTCTATCAAATACCCATACAAACGGTTTTTTTTTAGAATCAGGGTAACGTGTAGAAGCCAGAAATCTATATCCGACGCCATTTTGTAATCCAAGATGGTGGCATCCGATTTGCGGAAAAGTGTCAAATACCCAGAAAATATGGTTATTTTCAGAATGGGGATGAGACGTAGATGCCGAAAATTGATGTCACGCCGTCTTTAAATCCAATATGGCGGCTTTGGTTCAGAAAAACTGTGAAATACTGTCAAATACCGATCAATGTGGGTTTTATGGATTCGGGCTGGCATCTAGAAGCCAGAAATCGATGTCCGACACCATCTTGAAATTCAAGATGGTGGCTTCCGATTTCAGAAGAGGTGTCAAAAAGCCTACAAATGGCATCGGATATCGATTTTTGGCATCTACACGTTGTCTACAGTCCGAAAATTCCCATATAGTAGGGTATTTTAAACTTTCTGAACCCTGATGGCCGCCATTTTGGATTTCAAAATGGCATCGAATATCGAAAGGCTCGGAATACTTCTGAAAAGTTCAAAGGCTACTTCAGTCAACTTCTATAAAGTTCAAAGAAGTTCCAAGGCAAGTTTCGAGGGTGCTTCATAGATGAATCGATAACAGTTTAGGCAAGTTTTAAGGCATGTTCAAACCATCCCTGTAGTTCCCTCAGTACTTCAATTAAGTTGCTTCGATACTTCAGATATTCCCTTGGCAGTTTTTTGGGAACCTCCCGGTGGAATGGTCGAACGTATGTTTTCTATTGCTGCTTTTGAAGTTTCTGTTGCAATTTTTCAAATAACAGTTGCTTTTTTTTGGGTTTTTTTCCTGTGATAAAAATGTATTCTATTGCAACTTATTATTTTTCAATTGCTTCTTTCAACTAGCGTATTGCTCACATTTAATATTTTATTGCTCCTGAGCAAGCAGGTTTATTGGTAATCACGCATTAAACTATCGGAGTTGTCCTTTATTTTAGTGAGCGTTTGAAGTTTTTTAGATAAGGCTTCCTTAGAGATTTAGCTCATAGGAGTTTGGAATACAAATTGGACAAAATACAATTTTTAAGATCTTCTTTAAAATTAAAAAAGCAGCATGGAACTCGTTTCCATCTTGAGTAAACCATAAAGATCGAGAGTAAGAGTAATTAAAAATGAAAGCACTGAGTTCAAAAAGCAATATTATAATATAAACAGCACGGCAACCAAAACATGCCACATCATGACGCGTGACCTTACGTGAAATTGGAACGTTGCAGCTGTTTGTTGGAATGCTTGCTTCATAACATCAATTTAAAACGGCAGCAGCATGCATCTTTATGCTTTTCCCTTTCCATAATACATGTAGATCAAGACCCTCCGGAGGAAATGTAGACAGCAGATATTGGAAGAGACAACCCATCAGTCCGAGCAGCAGCATCCAAGCCTTCGGAACGACAGCTGTTCGGTTCAATGCAGGCGTGCAATTTTCCTATCTATGTACTTATATTGATACAAATTGTATGCAATTATTGGAAGGGCTGTCGGAAGAATGTTGAAACAAAGTAGCGATGATTTTTTAGTGAAATCTGTCGCTTTTGAAATATGGAACTTGTTACCTTCGGAAAATGACAAATTTTCATAAAAAATGAGACGATGCTTGATGATCCGAGAGGAGAATGCATGGCATAACCTTTCAAATCGTAGCAATGTTGTCTGCCTTGATAGGATAAGAAAATTCCCCAATTCAAAGGCAATCCCAACCGAAATTGCTTGAACTTTGAGTGAAACTTAAAGTGTTGCCAGACTGGAATAAAGCGAAATTCTATCGCCTGAAAAGAAAATCACAACCACGGCTGTCAAGCAACAACAGAATCATAAACGAAAGCAATCGGCGCCGGCTGTGGTGGTGGTGGTGCTTGAACCAGTCGCACATCTGTCTCTAAAGCATACAATTTCACTACCCCATCCAGGCTGCAATCACACCGCAACTCTCAGCTCAGCCCAGCTGCTGCTCTTGTTCTCGGCCTACCCTACTTTTATAGTTGTATGGGCTGGTTTGCTTTTTCGCCTTACTGGCTTTTTTCCCCCTGTAAGTACGAGGGCTGAACCCCTGATTTCCATTTGCCGTACAACCGTTTGTAAGTCTCGCGCGCACACATCCTTTTAATGAAAAAAAAAGGTTGAAATGTGTGCTAGTCATAAATCGTGGCACCTCCCTTCTTTTGGTTTTGATTTTGCTATTGTTGTGCGTTCAGATTCGAGTTGATTCGGAAGCGTAATATATGTGAGAGATTTTTCGAATGTATTAGAATCGGTAAATTTAAGTCTCCAGCAGGGACGCATTTACGGTTGAAAGTTGCCCTACTAACCAAATCATTTTCGTTTGCTCCACAGGTTCTCTGGATGTTGGATCTGATGCTGGCGGAATAAACTCAACAAATCTCTATTTTCAAAGGTAAGATAATCCAACGAACCTGGCTCCAGCTCTGCAGGCAACTTCTTTTCAACGAGACGGCAGTTGATTCTGACTTTTTACTGCACCACACAACAGTTGTACATTAAATATTGTTGTCGGTACTGATTCTATCTTTAGACATGATGGCACCGTTCGCCCTCGTATAGGAAGCAGACGACGATGGTGGTTGTTAGAATTCTTAAATCAACTCGCATATCCACTTTCACGCGCTCGGTGTATCCTTATGCGTTCTCCGTATCGTTTGTCGTTGGCATCAGAAGCTTATCGGATTATTTCATTCTTAGCGTAGTCTTTGCAGTATGTGCTCTTTCGTACTGCGTCTGTACCGTGGCTATGTGCAGATTGTAAATTTTCCGATAAACTTTTAGAAAGCAATCACACAATGCTTCTTTTAAGGTAAACCTGCAATGTCATAATCATGCCCCGCATTTTCACCGCTTTTCCGACCCCTGGATTCTGAAAACACGTGTTACGAAGCTAACAATGTGCTGAGAGCACTGCTATACTAGGGCATGAGGGTGGTTCAAACTTCCCATTTCACTCCACACACAGAGTGCAATCGAATCCCAAAACAGGTCCTAGTCATCCTTCTTCAATTAAAGCCAATTTGATTCACACAGCGGACAGCTTGGACCACCCTATCGGACGCGGTATTTTCGGTCGTTTTTACTACGTTGAACAACATTGCGAATACTGCCAAACAGTTGTTGTTGTTATTGTTATGGGGGCTATGTTTCAGCCGGTACGAGACGTAAATTTGTTTGATGTAGGGAGTTTCGGGTGTAAGTTACACTCGTGTGCGTTGTGTACCCAATGCAACAATTTCCATGCTTGGATGTTTGTCACTGATTGTTTAGGAGATTTTTGAAGTTTGTTTTTCTGGCATAGCTATGTTTTGGCACTGTTGGCTGAGAAAGTTTTCCGAGTCGTAAAGTATGAGGTTTCACTCTTGTTTACATTTTGGGTTAACTCCAATGTTGTAAAGCAATGTAATTGGGAGGAAACAAGTTGCATTCCCAAAGGATAAAGTTTTGCCCCACTTATGAAAACTTGGATACGGATTTTATATTTTTCATCCTGCCTTTGATGAGCTTTTGCCTGCTCTGAACTTAGTGTACTGTGAAGCATTTTCATCGTTATTAATTGTGAACTTTATGTGACAATAATGAGACTATCTGAGCTCCATAATCATCCATCATTGCCATATCAGGGTTTAATTGCCCTTTGATAAAATGAATTTAATCGTATAGGAAGGAAGTCTCAGCTTTCTAACCACGCACAGTGAGGGAAAAAGGAACCCAACATCCAACGTAATCAAAGATTGCTGCATTGGAGCCCTGAAAAAGAGCTTTTCTTAAGTAAACAAAATGTGGAGATTCGAATTGTGATGGTTTCATATTGTGCAGACCTGGTGTACAATGCTAGGCATAAATACGATAGGCATAATGGATGGTTGGCATAATGCACGTTACCCGGTTCCAGGAGATTTGCAAAAGCAGAGCAAAATAATATCTAATGTTACCATCAATATAAGTTGTGTGCTATATCCTGTTAACAGCTTTTTGTGCAATTAGAGCATAATTTGCAATTGGGATGATGTTTTGAAAACTAAATTAAATTTTAAAAATAACACAAAAATAACAGATTGTGTTATTATAACAAAATGAGATGGTACAATTTTTTTCTTGATTTGTTTTCTGTACTGAGTATTTTCTACCTATCGACACATCAAATCATAGACCGGAGACCAACGGCTTTACTTCCCATCCGAAGGAAAGCATGATCAGAGATTAAATGCCTAAGAAAATTCCAACGGCTCCGACTGGGATTAAACCCAGGCCTTTTTGAGTGAGATGCAGTCACGCATACCACTGAGTTATTACTATGTTATTACTTTATGTCAACTCAACCAAATATGCCCACCCAAGCAACACCATTTGTTTCTCAGCGAGTAACAACAACCTTAGTGTGACTAATAGACGGTCTAAATTATGGACAACGCACCACATATAAAACTTCATTGTACCTTAAAAAGCGCAGAAGGTGGAGTCTCTTTGCAACTTATGTTTGTGGCATAAGGTGTTGCAAGTAAGGTGCATGTAACATGATATTTGAATGACACAAGTTGTAAATGAGGTTTTAACTGACTTAACTGCAATGTTTCACTGAAATATTTAAAACAATACTGTGATGTTTTCGAATACATGTAAATGACATTCAAGTTAACCACATAAATGTATTGGATATTTTTGTGAGGTGATGCGGAAAAAGCATTCTGATGATTTTATTTAGACTGCAAAATCAGAGATGACAATCGTGGAAAAAGTCATTTGAATAAAAGTATGAAATTAATTACTTTAAAATATTGATAACTAGTCCGTTTTTTCAAACGCATCTAGTTTTATGGTGAAATTACACATTTTGCTTCGATTAAATATATACGCCTTCAAAAACTTATAAATTGATCCCACAAATGTGCAGCTTAAAAATATGTCGAAATAAAAAATGATCTCTAAAATAAAATATTTATATTCAAACTATTGGAAAACATTACAGCTGTAATAAGTATTTCATGTATTTATGTTAATAGGGTGTGAAAAATTAATAAATTGAAAAATAAGTTTATTATGTTTATTTCTGGTGGATTACATATGGCTGCCAGTCTTACCAACAGCATTCTGATTGTGTACATTGCGGGTCAACATGTTCAGTACAACCATATTTATTTTTATGTGCGGTTGTGTTTGCAAATTTGATTAATTTTTGGTTTCATTCCAACCGAATTAAACTAGCATGATGATGAGTTCTTAAAACTCAAAATTATGTTTAAAAAAAAAAGTAATAATCAATGGGATGGTCAGTGGTCACTCTAAATAATGTACCCAGGCACTTTTCGGCTCTCTGGGCAGCGCTCTGTTGTGAGCCGATCACCGACAAGATATTCTGACAAGCTGGTAGATGCCACACTCCGTCACATCAGTGGGCAACTAAAACACACCTACCAGACTCCTATTTCGTGAAGTGTCCGACCCGTAGCCGCAAACCTAAATTCTAATCAGCATAGTTAATTTAAAATAAATACTTTACAAGTAACAATCAATCAAGGCCTAATAAGTGATCAGCTTTTTTTTTAACCAAATATGCGTTTTTAATGCAGTACCGATAGGCCCTATTAATTTAAATTTTTTACCTGACAGAAAGTTTATTGAACTAATTTGAAGAAGTATTTTATGCATATATATAAATCTAAACATATTTTTTTTAATTAAATAAATGGTTTAAATTTTTATCAATTTCAAAAATCAATCAATCAATAAGTAAATAAATAAGTGAAATAAAAACAAATTAAAATAGCCTGTAAACCAATTGGAATTAATTACTTTAACTTGCAAACCCCCACTGTCTATTACTGAAAAATGCTAAAACTTTCATAATTTCGTCATTTTTTAACAGAATATTTTTATCTATACATTGCAATAGAACCGCAAACTTCTCAAGTTTTGATGAGCATTGCAGAATTTAAAAAAAATCTTTTGACTCTGAAAATATTATGAACTGAAATAGTGTAAATTTTTGACATTAGGGGTTTAAAAATCAAACGAACTGGAACGGTTCGATTTTTTTTTCGGTGCGTTTTGATTTTTCTAATAGAAAGCCATCCACAAATTATGTAAGGGTTTTTGAATGATCATTAAATCCCCCTCCCGTCCTTTTCAGACTCTTAAAAATTTCTTGCCCCGAACGTCGTTCTCAGATTTTATAATTTTCAGAAGATCGTTAGATATCGATTTGGGTAAATTTGTACATGCATTTGCGCATTTAATGTATTTGGCGGAGTGTTGGCATTAAATCGCTTTAGATAAAATTATGTTTTGCACCTACTAAATTTTATGAATGAAAATGCCCCCCCCCCTCGTTCCGTTACTTAATTTGTGGATGCTCCCAAATGTTGTAAAAGATATAAATAATCCAAGAAAATCATTTTTTCCAAAGCTTTCATAGAAAATTATCATGTAGCAATATATGTTTTCAATCTCATCGAAGAAAGTTGGACTCCCAATAAAACTGAAAGGTTGATTTTCTGCGGCTTTTGAGTCCATCTTTGTGCAATGATGCCTGAAAAAAAAAAAAATGTATTTAGCCGTCAATATTCTCTAAAAAAAATGAGAAAACTTGAGCGGCTACGGATTCCGAAGACGGTCGTTGGAGATCAGTTGTGGGACTCGTATGACTCCCGGAAACAAGAAACAATAATTCCACTCAAAATAAATAGGGTTACCCAAGTTACAATTTTGGTTTTATGAGGGTTCTGTAGACCATGATTTAGACTTGTAGCATGCTTTAAAACCACTATAAAACTTGCAATGTTACTTGAGTTAACTACCCCATTTCCGGCCTATTAAGCACAACCCGCAATTAGTCTTTCTTAATCTAGCGCAGTTTAGCACCAAACGGAATGTTATTATTACTGATGGCTTTCAAATTTATTTACCTTTCCGTATGTACTTTAAGATTTGATAAAGAGAAACCAATCGTTGAGATATTGTCAATAGTCTAACACTGCTCCTTAACGCCAAACTCGGCCTACGGATTCTAAACTCAGCCTAACGCATTGAAACTCCATTGAAACACCAATGAATTCACTTCGGCCTATCGGATGAAGATAAAACATGATTCGGTCGGTGCGCCTCTTTTGTTTTTGGGAATAATGGGTGCAAACCTTCATATCACGCGTTCTCATTGACTTCGTTCGGTAGCTTATTAACTAAAGTATACACACTTAGAAATACCTAATTTTACACGTGACGGAATCTATCTTTCACATGAAGGATGAGACATAAACAAGCATGTCATGTAAAATTAAATGCTCCGAAACTGAAAAGTTCGTTACTCAACGAAAAGTACGTTTGATTGAGCTGAATGTTGCGTCTATTATGACTCAATTTTATGTCAAAATTGACGCTCGTATATGTCAGTCT